TTATCAGAATCCTACCTTGGTCAGATCAAAGCACAAAAAGAGGTGGGGAAATTAGTCAAATTAGAGCTACATCTAAGTTCTGGATTAAATACTTTATTTTCATCTTTGATTTTTGTATTATTCAGCTGGGGTCTGTAATATCTTCTGTTTTGTTTCTGATCTAAATGCGTTTTTGTTTCATTTACAAGTGTGTTTATCGTCATCACTTCAGAAGCCACTACGATTACGTTCCCTGGAAAAGTAGGACGGAAGAAACACTGAACTATTTTCAAATCAGTCTCAGCCACTCAACTTACAATTTTAAGAGTTTTAGGAAATGGAAGGGGGAAAGGAAAACAAAGGGTAGGCATGGGTTCCTTTTTCAGTTGCAGCTTTAGGTCTTTTGAAAACTACATGAACTGTAGGCATGTATAATTTATTCAATTTGCATAGCCACCCATCTCACGTGGAGGCTAAAACACACGGAGAACGGTTTCAGGAATTGGGTATGGCTAGACTAGTGAAAAGAAGGACCAGGAGTGACATGATAGCAGTGTTCCAATATCTCAGGGGCTACCACAAAGAAGAGGGGAGACAACCTATTTTCCAAAGCACCTGAAGGCAGGATAAGAAGCAATGGATGGGAACTAATCAAGGAGAGATTGGAGCAAGAATCAAAGATGTGGCCGAGAACCTAACCAAAATAATAAAACCCACAGATTACTACCCTTTTCTACTACTACATGTAGGGACAAACAACACCAAAATGGACCTGAAAACAATATTGAGTTATTACGAACAGCTAGGCAAGAAGGTCAAGGATTAAGTGCACAAGTAGTTTTTTCATCTGTACTGCCAATGAAAGGTCAACATCCGGTAAGAGAACAAAGGATTCTAGAAGTGAACCATTGGCTAAAGGGTTGGTGTTGTCAAAAGAACTTTGGATTCCTGGACCATGGTTTGCACTACCTCCATGAGGGACTTTTGGCAAGGGACATGCTGTACCTCACAAACACTGGGAGGAATGTTTTCGGAAAATGCCTGGCTTAACTTATTAGGAGGGCTTTAAACTAAAATTGAGAGGGGAGGATGACCAAATTTTAGGATCTCTAGGAACTAATTACAAGCAAAAACCCCTAGAAAACAAATGAAATAATGAGACAAGGAAGGATGGGAAGGAAGACAAACTCAAACACCAAATAGGAAACATGGGAAGCATACCCAGAGTCAGACATAAAGATCTCAAATGCCTATATACAAATGTACAAAGTGTGGGGAACAATCAGGCTGAACTGGAATTATTAATACATAAAGATAGATATAATTGGAGTTACTGAAACCTGGTGGGACGAGACCCATGAGTGGAACCCACTGACAGAAGGATATAAACTGTTTAAAAAAACCAGACCCCATAGAAGAGGAGATGGAGTTGCACTATATGTAAAAGAGATCTAACCTAGAACTAGGAAGAAATTTCCTGACAGTGAGAACAATCAACCAACAGTTTGCCTTCAGAAGTTGTAGGTGCTCCATCACTGGAGGCTTTTAAGAAGGACTGGATAGCCAGTCTGGAATGGTGTAAGGCAGGGGTCCCCAACCCCTGGTCCATGGACCGGTACCGAGCCACGGCATGCCAGCAACCGGTCCACACAAACAAGCGAAGCCCCACCCATGGGATGCAGGCAGCACACAAAACCACGCACTCTCCGGTCCATGGAAAAACCTCTCTCCACGGAACCAGTCCCTGGTGTCCAAAAGATTGGAGACCTCTGATATAAGGTCTCCTGCTTGGCCAGGGGGCTGGACTAGATAGAAGACCTCCAAGGTTCCTTCTAACTCTCTTATTAATCGTGAAATGTGGCTCTGAGAAGCTCACAGTAATTAAAAACAATAGTAAGAACAATACAAATATAAATAAAAAGGACACATAACTATTAAAACCACTATAAACACAAAACATAAGCACATTTAGCAGGAAAATACAAGGAATAGATCCCATTTAATCTAATCATTTCTGACCACTATCTCCAGATCCCTAGTGCCACAGCACAGCCATGTTTTCTGAGCCTTCTTAAAGCCCAAAAGGATAGGAACCAATCTCAGTTCTGAGGGAATGATGTTCCAAAGGATGGGTGCCACAGCAGAAAATGCTCTCTTCTTGGGCTTCATCAAATGATATTCCTTACTAGACAAGATCCCTAAATTACCTCTCCTGCTAGGGCTGTTGTGAAGGCAGCATCATGAATTCTAGCCAAATCTGGACAAATAGGGAAGGCAGAAGGATTCCATGTTGGGAAAAGAAAAGAGAAGGTAGGGAAACCAGTCTTGTGGGTCAAAAAATTCTTGGTATTGAAAAATATTCTTAGTATTGAATTGTTTTTATACCCTAAACCAGTGTTTCTCAACCTTGACAATTTTAAGGCATGTGGACTGTGCAATGCTGGCTGTGGAATTCTGGGAGTTGAAATCCACATGCCTTAAAATTGTCAAGGTTGAGAAACACTGCCCTAAACCAAAGATGCCATAACTCTCATACACAAACTCTCATGCCATAAACTCTCATACACAATGAAAAAAATGATAAATCACATTAGACTCTAAATATCTCCAGCAACCCAATCTTTATTTTAAATTACTACCAATGGCCCACAATCCAGTCTTCCCAGAGATATCTTACTTTCAAGGATAACTAGTTGAAGAGAGGGGGAGATTGTTTTCATGCCTTAGGCAGGGGATTATACTTGACAAGATTAACTTTTGTTCTGCTCTTGAAAGGAAATATTTTAGCACCTAGTCCTAGCCAGCCTTCCAGAATGCACACTCAGGATTAGTCAGCATAAAGTTAAGCATTAACTGTTAACAGAGTCCAACTCTATGACTATTCTGTGTAAATTTAAAAATACATGCATGAACTATGAAAAAAATGAATTCAGCCTGGCCCAAAACAAGTATTTGGAAATGATCAAATACTGTCAAATAGTAACTTTACTCTCATGTGGGAAATGTTACAAAACTAATTAATTGCTGCCATAATAGAAAGGGTTGCCAGGTGTCCACTATTTGAGTGGACAGTCCGCTTTTTTCACATTATGTTCACTATTTTTTTTTCACAAAATAGTGGACATTTTTTTATTCAAAAGCTTTCTGATGAAATGGTACGTAATCTAAAGCTGTACAGTCTACTTTTTTTACTACTTAAACCCCCCCCCCCCCCGCTTGTCCGCTATTTTTTGGAAACAGACCTGGCAACCCTACAGAACTCTGAATCTCACTATATTTATTGTAAGCATTTTATATTTCAATGATATTTCTAGGATATACTTCAATGATATTCCTAGGAAAGGGTTGCAAAAATAATAGTTAAAATGAAAGTACACACACACACACAAAATCTTCCCCAAAGCTAGGAATTTTAATAGTGGTATAATATAACCAGTGGAATAAACGTTGCATTTTAAACATTCAGGAAAATAAACAGTCTTCTCACTGCAAAGGCAATGAGTTAGTCACCAAGCAAATGTCTTTAGGGAGAACATTCTAGAACTAGGCATCATCAGTAAAAGGCTCTTTTTTTAAAGGAGATAGTGAAAGTAGAGTTTGTTGAAAACCAGAGGCAATAGATAAGTAGTGACATAGCAGCTGGGTTTACACATTTGTGTATGTGACACATCTGTCACAATGCAGTTTTGATTGTTCATATGGCTTAGCATCCTGTTAACCAAATCTGATGATCATGAATGAGTCCATCTTCAGGGAACCTCTGAGAGCTCAAAGCTCGGAAGACAAAACCTCTGGTCCCGGTAACCCAACCAGATTGGATCCTGCAAACCTGATGATGTTACCAGTATCTAGTTCAGGTAATGAAATGTCTGCAAGAAACCAACCAAGATCAGAGAGTACCAAGAACCCCTCATTTCAAATCTTCTCCTTTATTGGTTAACCAAACCACAGCTGACTATATATAATGCATGAACCCTGTTGCAAGATTTGATAGAAGATTCCCTATAGAAAAATCTACTGGACATCCTTACATGCAGACCTACCAGATCTTCCACAGAGTACTTTTATTATTTGCAAAATAAGCCTTGGATTGAGTAAACACAGTCATGCTGCCTGCAGCTCCAACTGTTGGTGGAATACATTTCAAAGATCTGCAGGAGAGACACAGCCATCTTGCTGCCTGAGAAGAAAGCCTACATTCTGTACATGCCCAGAAACCCTGCAAAGTAGTTATGTTTACTACATACAAAGCATGCACTGTGCATATTTCTAATTTTACGCGTCTGGTTCTGCTATCTGGTAGGATAACAGATCCTTTTCTGAATGCCTGGGAAAAACACCTTGCAGCGGAAAAAGTGTTTTTCCTGCCACCTTGCTGCACCCCCCCCCCACCGAGCCTTCCAAGAAACCCTGCACAGACCAAGGCCCCCTTTTCTGCATGGCTTCATGAGAAATGCATTCTGCGTGCTGTAATTCCCCAAATCTTGGCGTCTGTAATTTATGGCACAGAATGCATTCTGCACATGCGTAGAAAGATCATGTTCGATGGAGGAGGGGGGGGGATCGGGAGGAAGAATCCCCGAGACCAAGTTGCGCCTACCTTGCTGTCTACGTAGAAATACACTCTGCCCATTCCCAGAGGTGCTCTTCACCCGCTGCCACTTTTAAAGGGCCCTCCCGGCCTTCAAGCTCCCCTTTCAGAATTCAGCCAGCTGGGTGTTTGGGGGCGGGTCCCCGCTGGCAACGTTTTGTCCAATGAAAACAGAGGAAGGGCGGGGCCGGCGGAGGGGCTGAACTGGCTCCTCCGTTTCCAGCGAAACCCGCTCTCAGTCGATCGTACGCAGAACGCCAGAGAGGTCGCGCATCACGTGATCCAGCCCAACCCGGAAGTGAGCGTGCTGCTCTGGGTGAATGGCGAGAGTGTGGTGGGTTTAAGAGAGGGAAACTTTTTCGGTCTCTCCCTCCCGGTCTTCGCTCACGTCCGCGGATCCCCTTTAGCGTCCGACATGTGATCCGTTGGCTGGTTCACTCTACTTCAGGTAGGGACCATAGGCGTGGTCATACCTGCTCTCGGGGAGAAGATACCTGTCCGTGGGGAGAGGAGGGCTCTGGTGGGAAGAGAGCGGAGCCGCTTAAAGGTTCGCTTCTAACTCAGGAGAGCAACTACCCCCGTCTCGTAATACTTGGATAAAGCAAACTACAATTCCCATCATCCCAAGATTATGGAATGCAAATTGGATTATGCTTCCCACTCTCCGCACAAGCGCTGGCTGAAGGGTGTACTTACTGGTGGAGCTGCATTACAGCTGGGAGGTCTGGTTTCCATTGCTCTAGGGCAGCGTTTCTGAACGTCAGCAAGTTGATGATAAGTGGACTTCAACTCCATGCTGGTTGGGGAATTCTGGGAGTTGAAGTCCACCCATCATCAACTGGCTGAAGTTGAGAAATGCTGCCTCTAGAGTGCAGGATGTAGTCGGAATCATGTGTTGCAAGAAGGCAGATTTTGATTGAATATTGCAAAGACTCCTGAAAAGTAAGATTAATGAAAATCACTCAGAGTTTCTGGGAGTTGGGTGGCATTTTGGTCTGCCTGTTGAGTATTTCCCAAGGACCTGAGTTAGGCAAATGTGGATGTTTGATGGTGTACAAATGTCGTCGCAGGATGTAAGCTGTTCCGAGTAAAGCTGCCTTTTGCAATTGACTGATGGGGAATTTGTCAGTGCCGATGATGATCAAGTGATGCTCCAGTTGTTTTGGGATTGCACCCAAGGCACCTATGACTATTGATACTAATTTGGCAGTGGTACCAGTGATCCAGTCAAAAGGTGGGCTGGCCTTCATGGGATGTGTTAAGACCCAAACTAAGTATAGATACTTCTTGACTTACAATCATTCATTTAGCAACCATTCAAAGTTACAATGGCACTGAAAAAAGTGACTTATGACTGGTCCTCACACTTACAAAGATTGCAGCATCCCCGAGGTCAAAATTTAAACTCTTGGTAACCAGCATGTACTTACGACAACTGGAGTCATGTGATCATCATTTGCAACCTTTCCAGCTGGCTTCCGACAACCAAAGTCAATGGAAGAAGCCAAATTCATTTAACAACTGCAGTGATTCACTTAACCACTGTGGCAAAATAGGTTGTAACATTGGGCACAACTTACTTAACCATTACCTTGCTTGGCAACGGAAATTCCAGTCCCAATTGTGGTCATAAGTCAAGGACTACCTGTAGCTATCTGCTATGGATGCTTTCATTTGGGTTCTTGCGCTAAGGAAGTCCACAGTCAAACTGATTCCTTGTGAGTGCTGAGATTCCGAGAATGTCAAGATTTTTCCCTTATTCCAAAACATAGGCCAGGCAAACAATTTAGAATTGCAAACCACCCAAAGTCACTTGTTTGAGTTGGATGGCTATAGAAATGGAATAAATAAATGAATAAACAAGCAAATAAACTATAACTTTTAAGTTGTAAAAGGCAGGATTCCAGGTGAATCTTAGGAAAATCTTGTGAATAGGGAGTTCAAAAGTGCAGCCATTTACCCAGATCTGGCCTCCCTTTCACTGAGATATTGAAACAAAGGCTTGGACAGTCATGTATTGTGGGTGCTTTAATAGGGGGTGGGGTATTTCTTGTAATGAGCAGAGGAATGGCCTTAAAAAGGACTGCTTGGGGAGACAGAAAATATTTCAAGGATCAGATGTTCTAACTTGTTGTGGAAAATGATCTTCCTATTGGCTACAGGAGCAGAATCTCATGTGGGCATGGTGGGCCAGTCTAGATAGCAGCATTTGCTTTTCTCACCCATGAAGGCAAAGGGTGAGCGACAAGAATGCATATCTTTCCTACTAATATTTTCCCCCGTAAGGTTCTACCTTAATAAATTTATTTATGGCATGGAAAAAAATGTGAGTTTTTGAAGGATTGGTGATTAAGTCAGTATCTGGGAAAAAGCCTTTTCTCCTTCCCTTTTTGCAGCACTGTATAATTTATGTTCCTAGCTGGCATTATTTTCTTTGAGGATGCTTTCCTTCTTTCTTATAGATAATATAAAGTTTTTTTCCCCTCAAATCATGAGAGGTTATATCACCTCTCTAAACCTAGAGGAAGTTTTCTTACTCATCATGTGTCTGTCTTCTCACCCTGGTCTTTGGCAGATAACAGTGCCCGTTTAAGATGGAACCTACTGCCTCGGGCGTCTTCTGCAGCCGTGTGCTCAGCATGGTGAACTCAGAAGACGTAAACGCCATCATCTTGGCTCAGAAGAACATGTGAGTGGTATACATTTTTTCACAGTGTTGTATATCTTTGACCCTAACAAACTTTCCTCTCTGTCATTAATCTCTCTCCTTTTGCCAGCTGATAATTTATTTCTTGCATCACTTATTCTTTTCTTTTGCTGGTTTAATCTAGAGCAGGGGTCTTCAAACTTGGCCCTTTTATGACTTGTGGACTTCAACTCCCAGAAATCCTCAGTTGAAGTCCACAAGTCATAAAAGGGCCAAGTTTGAAGACCCCTGCTCTAGAGGAAAAGAAGGCTAGGACATACCGGGTGTGTCTTTTTTCTCATTTTCTGCCCTGCCAGTTATCAAACCAGTAGATACTCACTTACTAAAAATCTTTTAGAAACAAACCCACATATCATATAAACAACCCAGTCCGTAGGTCCCACAAGGAAGGGGAACCATGTGTAGGAAGGGTTCACTGGAGAAACTGCTGGGGCTGCTTGCCATGCCCCAGGAAGCCACAGCATGATACAAATACTATAAGAATGCCAGCCTAATGGGGAAGGCAAGAAGTGGAAAAAGCAGGAAGTGAGCTGGCAAAAGCAAACTCTCCGATGCATTCTTATTGGATAAAACCTCTTTCTATCTACTCCATAGGGAAGCATTGCAAAAATGGGGGGGTCTGCATTCTCCAAATACAGGTAGTCCTCGACTTACAACCATTTGTATAGTAACCATTCAAAGTCACAACAGCACTGAAAAAAGTGACCGATGACCGTTTTTTACCCTTATGACCATTGCAGCATCCCCGTGGTCACGTGATCAAAATTTGGACGCTTGGCAACTGACTCATATTTACAACAGTTGCAGTGTCCTGGGGTCAGGTGAGGTCTCCTTTTATGAACTTCTGACAAAGTGAATGGGGAAGCCAGATTCCCATGTTAGTAACTTAAAAACTGCAGGGATTCACTTAACAACTGTCTCACTTAGCCCTCAATTGTGGTCATAAGTCGATTACCTGTAGTGTGCCTGTTCTTGTGAGACCCAGGAAACAGTTCAGAAGCTTGCTAAAGCATTGCAAGACTGGGGTGCATTATTTGGACAGTGCATTTGGGGAATTACACAAGAGGCCCTGGGAAGAAGGCTTTGTACAGTCAGCAGCTGCCTTGCATACATAGGGTCAAGTTGGGTGCACCTCATCAGCAATGGGAAAAAATGGTGAATGGCAGTTGAGGGCCTGTAGAACAGGGGTCTCCAACCTTGCCCACTTTATGATTGGTGAACTTCAACTCCCAGAATTCTTCAGCCAGGCTGCTGGCTGAGGAATTCTGGGAGTTGAAGTCCATAAGTCATAAAATGGCCATGGTTGGGGACCTCTGCTGTAGAGTATAGGGTGGCAGGGGCAACTGGGGCTTTGGATAGTGGTGCTGGGGGTGACTGGCTGCAGTGTGGGGTTTGATGTACATTTCTGAGTGGCAGTGGCAGCTCTGGAGTTAAAGTAGAGGTGTAGGGGCAGTGGCAGCTGGCTGACACCACTAAGCCTCTATTTTAGCCTCAGCTCTGGCACTGCCTCCAACAAATTCTGCTATGCAAGGTGGCCATAAGGGCAAATGTCAGAGAGGGAAAGATCAGGGAAAGTTGTGGGGAAAGTTGTAGTGTCCCTGTAGTCATAACTCATCAAATTTGCAGACGACACCAAGCTGGCAGGAATGGCCAACACTCCAGAAGACAGGCTTAGGATACAGGAGGATCTGGACAGACTTGAACACTGGGCACTATCTAACAAAATGAAACTCAATGGTGAAAAAAGTAAGGTTCTACATTTAGGCAAGAAAAACCAAATGTACAGGTATAGTATAGGGGGTACCTTGCTCAATAGTAGTAACTGTGAGAGGGATCTCGGAGTCCTAGTGGACAATCACTTAAATATGAGCCAGCCGTGTGCTGCAGCTGCCAAAAAAGCCAACACAGTGCTAGGCTGCATTAACAGAGGGATAGAATCAAGATCACGTGAAGTGTTAATACCACTTTACAATGCCTTGGTAAGGCCACACTTGGAATACTGCGTCCAGTTTTGGTCACCATGATGTCGAAAAGATGTTGAGACTCTAGAAAGAGTGCAGAGAAGAGCAACAAAGATGATCAGGGGGCTGGAGGCTAAAACATATAAGGAACGGTTGCTGGAATTGGGTATGTCTAGTTTAATGAAGAGAAGGACGAGGGGGGACATGATAGCAGTGTTCCAATATCTCAGGGGCTGCCACAAAGAAGAGGGAGTCAAGCTATTTTCCAAGGCATCTGAAGGCAGGACAAGAAGCAATGGATGGAAACTAATCAAGGAGAGAAGCAACCTAGAACTAAGGAGAAACTTCCTGACAGTTAGAACAATTAACCAGGGGAACAACCTGCCTCCAGAGGTGGTGAATGCTCCAACACTGGAAGTTTTTAAGAAGAAACTGGACAGCCATTTGTCCGAAATGGTATAGGGTTTCCTGCCTGAGCAGGGGGTTGGACTAGATGACCTCCAACGTCCCTTCCAACTTTATCATCATCATCATTATTATTATTATTATTAGTGGTGCTCGGGCTGCCAAACACCTGAATTTTGATCATGGAGGTGCTCCAACGGCCATAATTTAGGGCAGGGATCTTCAAACTTGGCCCTTTTATGACTTGTGGACTTCAACTCCCAGAATTCCTCAGCCAGGCACGCTGGCTGAGGAATTCTGGGAGTTGAAGTCCACAAGTCATAAAAGGGCCAAGTTTGAAGACCCCCGATTTAGGGTATGGCTCATAGGTCCTTTTGTCGAATGCTGTTGTAATTTCAAATGGTTGCTGAACAAATGGTTGCAAGGATACCTGTAGTGCTTTTGTTAGAAGATCCTTGATTATGTTCACAGACTTATTTGTGCCAGTCTAACTCAACCTCTTGCCTTCCTCTTCAGGCTTGACCGATTCGAGAAAACCAATGAGATGTTACTCAACTTTAACAACCTATCGGGGGTCCGAATGCAGCAGATGAACGAACGCTTCCTTCACCACACTCGGACATTGGTGGAGATGAAGAAAGATTTGGATAGTATTTTTCGGAGGATCAGGTACGTATGCCACCTCTTTGGTCATCCAGCCTTTTTCTTGCCCCATTAGCTCCCTAGTGCACTGGTTCTCAACCTGTGGGTCGGGACCCCATTTGGGGTCGATCGACCATTTCATGGGGGTCGCCAAGCAAGGCTGTCCGCCATTTTTTTTGTCCGCCATTTTTTTCCCCTTTTCCGGCAGGTGCCTTACCTCCCTTGGGCTGGGCCAGCTGGTGGTCGGCCTGCTCCGTCTCTGCCGCTTGCCAGCTACGCCTCGGCCGGCACAGGGGGCGGAACCACGCATGCGCGGCGCTCCCGGGCAGGGAAAGTCCTTGACTTACGACCGGTTGGGTAGTCCTCGACTTACGACCGCTTTAATCCTCGACTTACGATAGGTTTAGTCCTCGACTTACGACCGGTTGGGGTCGCGGCATTAAAAAGGTTGAGAACCACTGCCCTAGTGGCTCTGAAATGTTTATCAACAATTTCTGAGTTTTCTTCAGAGCAGAGAATCTTGGGGAAGTCCCTACAGATTCAAGGGGAGTTGCAACATAACTCTTCTGAAAAAAGCTTGCATACGGTTTTCTTTTCCTTGTACTATTAAGTGACAGACAGTTACGTGTTTTCCCTCCCGTTGCAACAACTGTGGTGTAGTTAGTTCTTTTCTTCTTCTTGCAGAACTCTGAAAGGAAAGCTAGCAAAACAGTATCCGGAAGCATTTAGCAGTAAGTAGGCTCATCTTCAATGCACATTTTTCCAATGATGATACTGTTGAATAATGAATAATACTGTATACCTTAATGCCATTTAAGGGTATTTGAGACATCATGACATGATCCTTGCTTAACTCTAAACCTTAATGGGGCGTATTTGTTTTTGGCTTACCCTGATGGACAAACTGCTTGTTATGGTTTGAGGTGTGAACCAAGCCACGATGGCCCGATTAACAGAAATTTTACATAAAAAACCCAAGCTACAAGAAAGTTCAATACTGTGTAATATAAGCAAAGTTTTCTTGCAGTTGATTATTATTAGACGTATGAGTGTATTTAATGCATACTTGCTTGATAGATTACAGGAATGCTGTAGATATATCTTTATTTCAGCAAAGCATTTGTATCTGTGAGATACTGACTAACAAACGAGTTAAGTGTGGGCTGATGGCCCAATAATTTCATAACTGGCTCATAAAAAAATGCTCAAACAGGACGTTTGGAGATCATCGCATCCAGGTGGGTGCTTGGTTTAAGGAATCCACCGCTCTTTTATAAGGATTAACTAGTTCAGGGGTAGGCAACCTTGGCTCTTTTATGACTCATGGACTTCAACTCCCAGAATTCCTGAGCCAGTATGGCTGGCTCAGGAATTCTGGGAGTTGAAGTCCACGAGTCATAAAAGAACCAAGGTTGCCTACCCCTGAACTAGAGGATCTAAGTACGATAAGATTTGATAGTACAGGTGGGCCTTGACTTACAACCATAATTGGGACCAGAATTTTGATTGTAAATTGTTGTGGTCATAAGTCAAGGCACCCACTTGATCAGGTCCAATTTGTTTTACTGTTCTTATGGTGATCATTAAGCTAATCATGTGGTTAAGCGAATCCATTCTTCCTGAAACTGGTAAAAAAAAAATCAAAAACCACGGGACATTACATCTGGTCATAAATGCAAGCTGTTTGGGGAGCACCTAAAGGTGACCTTGTGTGCGTGTGTGACATTTTATGGAGGCCAGAAGATTTTAAAACACTCTTTCTGAAGCCATCATAATTTTGAACAATTGTTAAACCATCGCATAAATTGAAGACCACCTGTATCCCATTTGTTCACCCGGAGAAATATACTGATCTTTTTTTATTATTATTACCAGTCAAAGATACTGTTCTTTTCCAAGTCTTTTAAATTTTTGGACCTGTTGTTTCAGTGCTGCAGTTAATATTGTCTGTTTTTAATGAACATTAAATATAAAAATCCAATTGTAATTTCTGTGTGGTAGACTGCTTTATATTCATTTTCTTAATAACTTTAACATCTGTCCTGTTAAGTAAGCCAAGACATAGGTAAAATGGGGGCTGAGATTTAAGGGCCAGCAAACACTTCGTTCTGCTGACAGGTCAGTACTAAAGGCTGATCAAACTCAGTACATCCAAAGCTTTTCCTGCCTCCCTCACAATTCTGTAACAAAATCTTCCTTCCCCTTTCCAGATGTACATGAATCTCCCATCCTTGAAGATGACGACTTTGATCCCGTCCCCAAAAGTACCGCCACAACCATTGCTACCTCAGAGCAGACCACTGAGTCCTGTGATACCAGTCCAGACATCATCTCTCCTGCCACCAGCCATGACTTTGAAGACCTGTCTCAGGGCCCTTATGACACAGTGGCTATGAATGGGCAGAGCATAACAGATGAGGACAATGAGACAGACTAGTCTCCATGGAAACTGTTATGGGAGCAGAGGTGGACTTTCTTCCCACTCACCGCCCACCTGCTAACAGACCTGCAAACTTTTTTTTTTAATCTATGTTCTCTGTATTGTCTTGGCTAACTGTTTCTGTCTGGGAAGAGAGGGCTAAACATGGGTGATGGGCCTTTTGCATGAAGCACCATCATCCAAAGCAGGGGTCTTCAAACTTGGCCCTTTTATCACTTGTGGACTTCAACTCCCAGAATTCCTCAGCCAGCATGCCTGGCTGAGGAATTCTGGGAGTTGAAGTCCACCTGACTGAGGAATTCTGGGAGTTGAAGTCCACAAGTCATAAAAGGGCCACGTTTGAAGACCCCTGATCCAAAGGGTGCTGATCTATGTCTGATGCCAAATAAACTTAACCTTGAGTCTAGGCCAGTGTTTCTCAACCTTGACAACTTTAAGATGTATGGACTTCAACTCCCAGAATTTCTCCAGCCAGCATGACTAGCTGGGAAATTCTGAGTTGAAGTCCACACATCTTTAAAATGTCATGGTTGAGAAATACTAGTTTAGGCAGTGCACAGTTGGCAGGAGTGGTGATGGATAAGCTGTTGTAGCCCAACCACTCCCTTCTCTTGGACGGACTGATTAGTTATAGAAGGCTTCCTCAGTAAAGACATGGCAGCCCAACTTTTATAGTCCTTGTGTAGACAACAGTAGATTGAGCAGAACATCTCGTAGTTCCTGACCCCGTTAATTATCCAACAGGCAAACATCCAAAATCTTTGGAGTCCATAGGAAATGATATGCTAATAGCCAGCTACAGTTTACTCTTAGGACTTAAAAACAGGCAAGGATGCCTTCAGGAATACAAATTCCTGTGTGTTCCTCTCTTCGTTAGGCATAAGACCCCATTGCTGAGTCTTCCTATTGGCCTCTGTATGCAGAATACAAATGGATCAGAATCATAATCTGCTTGGTGGGGTGGGGATGGGGTTTAAAGCAAGCTACAATCTCTGTTCGCTTCAGGGACTGGCATTGGTGAGATTTTCAGGGGATCGTGCCTTTTGGTAATTGCTGCTACCACCGTCCTCTCGAGCTATTGCTCATCTTTGGTTGTGGATCTGATAAGTCAACAATGCTTGAAGTGTTCGGTATTCCCCATTCCTAAAACTCCCCCTAAAAACAAAGCTTGACTTTGTACAACCTCTATCATCTAATGATGCACCTTATAAAAAAAAAAAAAAGATGAGGGCCATATGCTGCATTGCACTTGCCTTGTGCTGTTTTCTTAAGTTTGCCACACTCACTGTTACATGTCATATTTAATATTCCAATAATTTTCCTGTGTGTTTAAACATCTCACCCCCGTTATCACACTTTCAGTTACTGTAATGCCAATGAATGTTTTTGTTTGGTTTTTGATAGTTCCTTTCGCTGGAACTTAGCAAAACTAGATGTGTTGCTTGGGGGACAGGGTGCACTGGCCTCTTTCCTCTAATGTAATCTTGTGAAATGCGTTCTAATTCAAAGAAAAAAAATATTTTTGTACTGCTGTAAGTTTACAGAGGTTAATAAGATAATAACCAATAAACAAATTACCTGAGAGCTCGCCTGCTTGACAGTAAGTGGAGTTGTTTTTGGCATTTTTTTTAAACCACCCAATAAACAAAATATTCTGATAGCAAGTTATACAATGGCTGAAGGAGGGAGTCAGTTTTTAGTCTAAGCAGCCAGTAAAGCAAAATGAATTTGTTGCTTTTAAAACCAGACTGAAGGAATTAATAACACGAGTGCTCTTACCAGACTGGTGCATGTTGCTGACAGAGAATGCACCAGAGAATCTTGCCATATAATCCTTTTACTTCTATCAGATAACATAGTTGGCTGGTTTAGATGCCCATCTTAATTCAATTCAGCCTGGAAGATAAAGCTTACCAATATTCATCCCTAGGAAATGTTACACTAAAGCAGGGGTCCCCAACTCCCAGTCTGTGGACCAGTACCGGGACACAGCATGCCAGCAACCGCGCCACACAAAGAAGCAAAGCCCCATCTGCAGGATGCAGGCAGCACACAAAACTGCACCCCCTCCGGTCCGCGGAAAAACCTCTCCACGGAACCGGTCCCTGGTGCCCAAAAGGTTAGAGACCTCTGCACTAAAGTCTATTGTGTGTGTGAGAGAGAGAATGATATATGGTTTCATTCTACATTGTGTTAAAATTGTAGCAGTACCCTTGCTGTGATAAACAAGAGTTATGTTTTTACATTCTCTTCTGTTATTTTATTTATATTATTGAGTGTGAATGCTTAGGTTGTCTATTTAGTATAATTAGATAAAATGCTTGACCTCTGCGTATATTTTAGGAAAGCTACATTTCAAACAAAAAGTTACAAAAAAAATGTAAAACATACTGATTTGGATTCACAGACAGGATTTTTCAGTTTTCACATATACACCACTGATACAACACTGAAAAAGAGTGAGGTTTTTTTGAATACAGGTAGTCCTTGACTTACAACAGTTCATTTAGTGACCATTCAAAGTTACAACAGCATTGAAAAAAGCGACTTATAACCATTTTTCATACTTATGACTGTTGCAGCATCCCCATGGTCATGTGATTTACATTTGGATGCTTGACAACTGGTTCATATTTATGACGGTTTCAGTGTCCCGGGGTCATATGATCATCTTTTGCAACCTTCTGAAAAGCAAAGTCAATGGGGAAACCAGATTCACTTAACAACCATGTTACTAATTTAACAACTGCAGTGATTCACTTAACAAATTTCTCACTTAGCAACATAAATTCTGAGCTCAGTTGTGGTTGTAAGTCGAGGACTACCTGCAGTGCTTTTTTTGTGTAAAAAAAAAAAGGTGCCAGAACTCACATCTTGTTAATCTTTTATTAAAGAAAATTATATATTCAGTTCTTAACATAAATTTAATTTGTTGTATTTAAGGCAAATGTTCATAGTAAATTCCAAAGTTTTGTCCAATTCTTGTCTGGCAGATCTTCTCGACTCCTTTCCTTGCTGTTAGTATCTATGGCCGAGTGTCGTCCTCTGAGTAACCACAGATCAACGTACTTTGAAGGATCAAAAAGTCTCAGAGGTGGTCCAACAAGTTTGATGAACAAAAGTGCTGCAATTGTCTTAGTCTTCAACGAAGCTCTTGTTGGGGTGGCAATTAAATTCATCTGCGAAAACCCACATTCACATTCACTTGAAGAAATGGGAATGGTATTCAGAGTCCGTATCAAATGCAACAGTTTTTCTGGATATGTCTTTTCGAGAATGTATTCACGGAATCCACAAATCATTTGTCTTTCATTTAGTTGCAGTCTGATTGACAAGTTTCTAATTTCCACTTCTCCAAATGTCAGTTGAGTATTAATATCTTTAGGCCAATGTTTTTGATCAAGTATGCGAGACCAATGTGCCAACTCATTGTCTTTGCTAAAATTGACTCTTTCAATTTTGTATAAAATGTACTTGGGTCAATGGGAGGATCCTTTCTTGAATCTTTTTCGTGAAGTAAAACTCCATGAAAGCGAAGATCACGTACAGCAGCAATAGCGCATTTATAATAGGGCCCAAAATTCTGTTTTCTTTCTTCAAAAACTTGTAGCAGTATTTTTATTTTCTTATTTGCCTTGTACAGGCCCATGTTGCGGTCCTGTAGGTCCAAATTTAATTTTGATAATTCTTGGAGAGCATCACACATCAATCCTAGGTCCAATAAAAATTCTGTAGATGTGATTTTTCTTTTCAAGCCATCATAAGTGCATTTATCATTTTTATCTCTTGTAGGATCATGCATTGCTTCTTCAAAATGATACACAAGGGATTCAAAATTATTCCACACAGCCAAAACTATACGCAAACTAGATGACACCCATCGGGTACTTAATCTTCCAATTTTCGGCAGCTTAGCCCCCAGTAATTCTGCATATAAATGCAATTCTCTACTACTCTTTGCCAAAGCATAGTATATGACGTAAAGTTTATCAATAAATGATTTGAATCTATTTATTCCTGAAGTTTCCTTGACAGCATCACCTACTGATAATTCTAGTCTGTGATTAGCACAATGCCAAACTATAATAGAAGGAAAACGTTCTGACAGCAATTTTTTCACTCCACTTTTACACCCTATCACAGCAGTGCCGTCGCACACCAAATATATTTTTTAAATAATCTGTCATCCCATAAGAGTGAAGACATTGGAGTAAGGAATCAAATACTCCTTCTGCCGTTATTTTTTCAAGTTCTACCAAGTCCAAAAACAAATTTATCGGTGAATTCATTCCAACACCTTCGATACAGCATCAAACATATACTATTAGGGTAGTTTTCTTGCTTATTGTGGTTGATTCATCAATTATCAATGAAATTTTATTATTAGATTGAACAATTTCTTTAACCATAGTTTTCCTCATTTCTTCACTTATATGATTAACAATTAACAATTAACAATAAATGCATATGTAGAATGAAGATTATGACCCATTTCTACTCCGTTCAGTTCTTGCAGATCAATTTGTTTCAAAATGATGGAATGATTGATTTTCCTTTACTACTTTATATGCAGTTCGAAAAACATTTTCACGAGGTAATGACATTAAAAAACATTCTCAAGAGTCATTTTTTCGCTTTTAGCAACTATTTTTAACGCTGCTTAATGTGCAGCAGATTCTCTATGATCAAAATTGTTTTTTCTCGAAATGAGCTCAACTGTTACTTTCTATCTTTGCCAGAATAGGTTATCTCATTGTTGGTCCATTCTTTGGAAAGTTTCATTCCCATTTTCATTTCAACTCCAAGAGTTCCAACTTTTCTACAAGGGGTACAGCCAAGTTTCATTTTGCAAACACAGAGCCATTCATTTTTCAAGAAAAAATCATTTTTTTGATCGTAGGTCTAGCAGTCCGGCCAGTCATTTGTAGTTTGGCTTTGCTTCTCAAGATCAGATTCAAAAATATCAACAGGCTTTGTTAGTTTTTTGTGTTCTGTCGTTGTGTCTGTTAATATTCTGGCCTTTTTATTAGCAGGACCGGTGGTTGAGAAGTAATTAGTATTTTTTCATTTTTAAATTTGGGGTCACACTTTTACACTAAAAAATAAAAAAAGATTTTCAATTCACCAATGGTTTTTTAAAATAAATTATTTAACTTTCGCATGTAGTCAATCACTGTACACACACCCACAAATGTCATACAACCCGACTTGCCTACCCTACAAGGTTTACCTTTGTAGTTGAAAAAAAACACCCTTCAATTTTTAGTGTATCTAAAAGACTAGGATTTTGTTCAAGGTAAGTTAATACTATTAATGTTACCATGTACTGTGTGGCTTTCAATTACAAGAAGGCATTTTATTAATCTTTTGGGATATTTACCACTGGCATTCCCATTTAGTTTAATGAGTGGAAATGTCAGCTTTCTATGTGGAATGAAATTGGCCCAATAAAACAAAATTTGGTTGCTTATAAAAGATTGAATTCTTTTTAAGAAGTTGTCAAACCAAGGGGGGGAAATTTACATTTGGAATTTAATATGGATATTGACTGGAAACAAATTAAAGTTGAAACTTTGTCAAGTGAACTTTTAATTTACCTTTAAGTTAAACCCAATTTAATAAATAGATCTGATTAAACCTCATACCGTAGGTCTACCTTTACATCTGACCAATACACAATATATATTATTATTATTAATAATACCTCCAAATCACAAGACATTGGCTTTATTCTTATTCTTCCCCTCCGCAGTTTAAATATAAAGTATAAAAGACTAAAAAGAGATTTTCGTAGACATCCCAGCCTTTGAACTACCCAAGGAATCTAAACAGCAAAGTTTCGCTGTCGGGCAAGTTTCCACGCCAGCCGTCTTTCTTTCCTCTCGCTTCGCCTCTTTATAACCTCACACCCCACCTTCTGTAAGGGAAGGCAAAAGGCAGATGGCCTCCATAGTTATGTGTTTCCCGCCACCCCCATATGGTCCGACCCAGCCAATCAAGCCACGCTCTGTGCTGGCTGGGGAATACTTTGGAGTTGAAATCCACTCATCTTAAAGTTGTCAAGATTGAAAAACACTGTGTTATACCACAGTTAGCAGGTGTTCTGATTCTCTACTGCAGGGGTTCTCAACCTTGGCAACTTTAAGACTTGTGGACTTCAACTCCCAGAATTCCTCAGCCAGCTTTGCTGGCTGAGGAATTCTGGGAGTTGAAGTCCACAAGTCTCAAAGTTGCCAAGGTTGAGAACCCCTGCGAGTCTACTGCATGCACATCCATACAGCAGAAAAGGAAAATATTTTGCTGTATGACTTTAGCATTTCTGTCCTCCCAGTCTTCCAGAGTTTAGAACACCCGATATTTGTTATTGTCGTACACAACTTTTTATTGAAATAGTCTTTCCCAGTCTGACAGGAAAGCTTATTTCCCAACTACGTAGATCTACAATTCTCAAGGGCGGAAGTTTGGTCTAGAATTTCCATCTCTATGGTCAACAACTTGCATCCCCGAGACCGCGTTTTCCTACGTAGATCTACAATTCTCAAGGCGGGAAGTTTGGTCTAGAATTTCCATCTCTATGGTCAACAACTTGCCTCCCCGAGACCGCGTTTTCCTCTTGCGCGTGCGCACGATAGAGGAGAAGGAGGAGGAGGAGGAGGAGGGGGTGTGTCGGCGCCGTCCGGCGGGGTCGGACAAGATGGCAGTCGCCGGCGGGGGCTTGGCGGGCCCCGTGGAAGTGGCCCTGGTGGCGGCGGCGGGCGAGACCTCTTTGGGACCCGGGAGCGGCGGCTCCTCTTCGAACTCGTCGGGTAGCGGCTGCTGCTCGGTGTGGGAAGTGGGCTCCGGAGCATCGGTGGCCGGCTACCGCGGGGGCTGCTGCGCCCCTCGTGGGCTGACGCTGCTAGGCGGGGAGCACCTTCTCGGGGCGCAGCTCGGCAAGGCCTGCGTGGGAGCCTGGGAGCTCCAGAGGAAGGTAAAGGCGGAGGATGAGGAGTGAGCAGCAGCTGGGGAGCCGCGCGACTTTCGGAGGCAGATATTATTCCGGGAAGAGTTTGATGTTTCTCTCCTGTTCCTCCCTGTCCCTTTCTGCACATCGGATACTATAGTTTGTGTGTGTATATTTACACGCATTAAGTATATGTGTGTGTTTGTGTGCGTGCATGCACGTGCGTATGATATACACGTATGTACATGTGCACGCAGGCATGCATAACTATATGCCTTAATTTTATAGTCTGCCTCTCGCTCAAGAGTTCAAGATGATGGTCGTTTCCTTATATAATAGGAATAATAATATAACCCTTAAGTTTTTCTGCATGATACAACCTTGTGTAGTAGGTTGGATCGAAAGAGAGAGAGAGTGAATCTTATAGTTCTTTGGCAAATCTGGCTTCCTCTACAACAGTGGTTCTCAACCTTTTTAATGCCGCGACCCCAACCGGTCGTAAGTCGAGGACTAAACTGGTCGTAAGTCGAGGACTACCCAACTGGTCGTAAGTCGAGGACTTTCCCTGCCTGGGAGTGCCGCGCATGCGTGGTTCCGCCCCCTGCACCGGCCGAGGCGTAGCTGGCAAGCAGCAGAGCCTGAGCAGGCCGACCACCAGCTGGCCCAGCCCAAGGGAGGTAAGGCACCCGCCGGAAAAGGGGAAAAAATGGCGGACAAAAAGAACGGCGGACAGCCTTGCTTGGCGACCCCCGTGAAATGGTCGATCAACCCCAAATGGGGTCCTGACCCACAGGTTGAGAACCACTGCTCTACAACCTTGACAATTTTAAGGCATGTGGACTTCAACTCCCAGAATTCCACAGCCAGCATTGCTGGCTGTGGAATTCTGGGAGTTGAAGTCCACATGCCTTAAAATTGTCAAGGTTGAGAAACACTGCTCTACCGACTTTGCTTGTCGGAAGTTGGCTGGGAAAGTTGCAAATGGCAATCATATGACCCCAGGACATTGGAGCTGTCATAAATACTTGCCAATTGTCAAGCGCCTGCATTACGGTGGTTGTAAGTGCGAGTACTGGTTGCAAGCCACTTGTTTTCAGGTGCCATTAAAACTTCAGTCACTAAATGAATGATGATAAGGGAGGGAACCAAACAGGGAGCAGAAGGTGTATCAGATAAACTATTGTCCACTGCCAGTGTTTGGCTCTGGCCTCATCTACTCCTTGTTTCAGTCCTGCTCACCATAAACTTCAAATGAGGTAACCTTCCCAGGTCGCAGTACCTTTTTACAGGTAGTCCTCGGCTTATGACCACAATTGAGCCCAAAATTTATGTTGCTAAGTGAGACATTTTTAAAAGCAAGCTTTGCCCCATTTTACAACTCTTCTTGCCACATTTGTTAAGTGAATCCCTGCAGTTGTTAAATTAGTAACACCGTTGTTAAGTAAATCTGGCTTTCCCAATTGACTTTGCTTGCCAGAGGTCACAAAAGGTGATCACATGACTCCGGGACACCGTAACCGTCATAAATATGAATCAGTTGCCCAGCATCTGAATTTTGATCACATGACCATGGGGATCCTGCAACAGTGATAAGAGTGAAAAATGGTCATAACTCACTTTTTTCAGTGCCATTGTCACTTTGAACGGTCACTAAATGAAATGTAAATTGAGGACTGGCTGAATATGGTTGTCTGTGGGGTACAGTCAGTAATGACTATTATCCTGTTCAAATTCTGCATTGTTCCATGGGCCTCTGTCCAGGTTGTAAGATGCTTAAAAGATGCTGAGGTATACTTGGTAAGACTATGAGAGCATCCACCCAAATGTTGCCTGTAGACTATGCTAACATCTTCATCCCTCTTTGGACAGACAGAATTTCTCTTTATATAAATAGATCGGCTGCTAGAACTCATTTATTGAGTTCTGTTAATTCTTTCTGACTGAGTTGTGTCAGCCCCAATCCGGATGTTCTGAATTCCCCGGCCAACATATTCACTGCTGATAATTCTGGAAGATGAAGAAGGTTTTGTAAAAGGTGTCTTTCGCCTGAGTTGACACAATACTCGAACTATAATTTGGTGGTTTTATTTGTGAGTTAAAACTCCCTCATAGTTAATTACTAACTGATTCCACTTCTCACAGGGGGGCATCTGTTATTTTTTTTGTTTCCGTTTGAATTATCTCTTTATCTTTTTCTCCTCATTTTATCCACTCCCACTGCATGTATATTCTCTGAACTATCAGAACATCTCGAGAAGACTTTTTTTTTTTTTTTGAGTTCTCAATGTTAAAATTGTCCAGGTTGGGAACACTACTGTAAAACATAGGACAGTGGACCCCCTCTAACAATATCCAGAAAACTATCTGGTGCTGACTTTGAAATGATAGCAATGTTCCACAAAGGGGCTGCCCCAAAGAACAGAGAGTCAGCCTATTTTCCAAAACACCAGAAGGCTGGACAGGCAAGAAGAAACAACTTATAACTAAGGAGACATTTTCTGACAGTGAGAACAATAAACCAGTGGAATGGCTTGCCTTCAGAAGTTGTGGATGCCCCATCACTGGAAGCTTTTAAGAAGAGACTGGGCAGCCATTTGTCTGAAATGGTACAGAGCCTCTTGCTTGAGCAGGGGGTTGGGCTAAAAGACCTCCAAGGTCCCTTCTAACTCTGTTATTCTGTTAAATGTGGATTTCTGCCTTGGGGGACATCTTATTGGTCCTAAATAGTATGGATGGAAACTGATGGATGGACAATGGAAACTGAAGTCCAACATTTCCAAAAGGCCGTTCCCCAAGAAAGAATTCATTTGTTCCCCTCCAAGAAATGTCTTCTGAAAAAGAAGCAGAGGCAAGGTGTCATCCCAGAAAAAAAAGACATTCTTCTGTCTCTGTTGCTTAGTCCCATTGCTTAGGCAGGATTGTGTTAAAGTCAGAAGAATGGGGCTTATACGGTAGTTGTTATCTAGGACCCAAATCTTCACCATCTGTTTGTTACAGGAGTGGCAAGTAAATGCCTTAAAGCAGGGGTAACATCTTTTCTTTGACTGACTGACATCTGCTTTTCTTGAGGGTGATCTATTGCAACTTACCTGTGATAATAAGGAGGAAGAGGGTGGGGAATGAGGAGGAATCAGATTTGAACAGATGTAACCCTTTTCTTCTTCTCAGTAGTTTAATCATTGCGAATTTATTTTCCCAACATTTCGTTTGTGCCAGACGTTTGAAGCAGCAGTGTGCGCAAAATGAAAACACATTTTGCTGCCAAAACAAAACACTTGATTGCCTAGATCAGTGGTTCTCAACCTTTTTAATGCCATGACCCCCAACCAGTCGTAAGTCGAGGACTAAACTGGACGTAAGTCGAGGACTAAACCGGTCGTAAGTCGAGGACTACCCAACCGGTCGTAAGTCGAGCACTTTCCCTACCTGGGAGCACCACGCATGCGTGGTTCCTCCCCCTGCGCCGGCCGAGGTGTAGCTGGCAAGCGGCAGAGACGGAGCAGGCCAACCACCAGCTGGCCCAGCCCAAGGGAGGTAAGGCACCCGCCGGAAAAGGGGAAAAAAATGGCGGACAAAAAAAATGGCGGACAGCCTTGCTTGGTGACCCCCGTGAAATGGTCGATCGACCCCAAATGGGGTCCCGACCCACAGGTTGAGAACCACTGGCCTAGATTAATTCAGATTTTAGCCAAGATAAATCCAAGAGAGTCTTCAGAGGCAAATAATGCAATGCGGATGTGCGCTTTCCATCTCCTTCCATGTGGCCTGCATACCAGCCTATCTGTCAGTGTTCTTAGCATCTTTCCTTGTGTTCCTTCACTTCTGTCACATAGATTCAACTGTTGCATGCCCACCTGGGCTCGTCCACTCTTCCCAAACCTGCTGTCTTTGCACCACACAGCCTACACCTGTCCATCCACTCCATCTCTCTATAGTACCTCTGCACCTTCCTTTCCCACCGTATCCACCTTCTGCCTTTGCTGTCCCCTCTGTTTTTAGGACATTAAAATAGTATACATTTAAATGAAGTGCTATTCTGGTGAACTTATTTAACCCTTTTCTGCACAAATGCAGTGGGATCCAGCTGGTCTGAAATAATAATTTTGTGTTGTTTATGCTGTGATCTAAGGTCTAATGAGACATTTGGTAATGAGGTTAAAACATTTTCTTTGCTGATTGAGCAAATTGGGAGTCACCTCCTTATTGCATTTTCACTTTAAAATTTGCATATCAAATTAATTTATTGATAATAGCTATTTATAAAGACTGGGCTTTTATGGTCTTATAGGATTTAATGATCCCATCTAATACCCCTAGATGTCTTTGAGGCTGAAAATTCCTCTGGTCCAAATTGAGATGGCAGCTAATGTAATTGTACATGCTGCCACAGGGTGGCAGCTGACAAATGGTGATTGCTATACCTTGTAACGCAGAAATTAAAACTCCTTGCTGAAATTTGCTGGTTGCGCTAATGTAAAGTTCGCAGCATTAATTGGTACCTTCCATAAAGTCATTTTTAAATCAGTTTTGAGATCTGGACTATTTGTGCCATATAAAATCAATTTAGCATGAGAAAAAGGATTAAATCTGTTTTTCCCCCAGAAGTAGCATAGCGTAATTTTCAATAGTAGTGAAGAATATATAACAATTTTTAAAACATTTTGAATTTGAAATTGTCCAATTACTTAAACCGTTATACAGGCAGTCCCCAACTTACAACCATTTGTTTAGTAACCATTTGAAGTTACAATGGCACTGAAAAAACTGACTTCTGACTGGTTTTCACACTTATAACCATCACAGCATCCCCACAGTTACAAGATCAGAATTAGGGTGCTTGGCAACTGGCATGTATTTAGAACAGTTGCACTGTCCTGGAGTAATGTGATCACCATTTGTAACCTTCCTAGCCAGCTTCCAACTAGCTAAGTCAATAGGGAAGCCAGTATCACTAAATGACCACATGTTTCACTTAACGGCAGTGTTTTGCTTAACTGTGACAAAAAGTCCATAAAAAGGGACAAAACTCATTTAACCTCCTTGCTTAGCAACAGAAATTTTGGTCTCAATTGTGGTTGTAAATCTAGGACTATATATGTACAGATATTCCAAAAGTGCCTAAAATGAAGAATTTGTACTGCATGAAAATGAGTAGAATGTGGTGCCAGGTGAAAGGCATGCATTGTACTCTGATTGAAGATTTGAAAAAATGAAATCCTCATCTTGAATTGACAATTGCATCTTCAAATATAACTTTGGAATTAAAGAACCCCATAGAAATATATGAAACAGTAGAGTGTTTTCAGAACGTGTATATAAAGAATTCCATGCAAAATATAAAGTACCCTGCAATTATGTTCAATTTAAGAATCATTTTTCCTATCCCAGGAGATAAGATTTAATTACTCCCATCTAGTAGTATCCATAGAAACATTCTTCCAACCCTTTTATCTTAAGCCTAACTAAATTCTGTTAAATGAATTCTAATAGTCCATAAATAAATAACATTCCAATATCAATTTTGGTAAGAGCTGGTGTATCTGAATGTATATTACAAAGTCTTGTAGTAAAAAATATCTTGTTTTGAATAGCACATTAGTAATTGTAAACTGTCTGAATACAAATTAGAGAAATACAAGCCAACAATAGTTAAAGAAAAAACCAGTAGAACATAAAAAGCCAAATAGGATGTGATAGAGCATGATAAAAAAGGGAAGGAAAACAAGAGAAAAGGAACGTTTCATTTCCAGTTGAAATGACTGCAGCTATCAAAATATGATCATATAATATCCTTAAAAGAAGAAAAAGCAAAAAAAAAATATTGTGAGAGAGGAAAAAAGGAGAAAAAATAGAAGAAAAATCAGAAGGTAACTTGGCAGTCTGTCCAGACACTGAATAATATATGGTTATAAGCCAAAAGTGAATACCATTAGAAAACCCCTTATTGAAGAAGCAATTTATGAAAAGGTTTTTTTCTTTTGAAAAATTGATGTTACTTATTTATATATTTGTATGCTCCTTATTGCTGAAGGCTCTCAGCAGCTAAAGATCAGAAACATCATAAAAGAAAAACCCTCCATAAGTAATATACACGCATGTATCATGCTAAAAAATCTCAGGAAGACCTTAAGGAATAAAGCATCTTGATTTTCAATGGACAATATCTGCCTGACCTAGGTGGAAAAGACACACCATGATTGCTCTCCTGAAACTAGGAGGAAAGAAGTCAACCAAATCTCTCTAAGGAGGAAGTTCCAGAACACGGGGTGACAATTGAAAATGCCTATTTCCTAAAACCTGTCAAAGGTTGTTTTCACATAGAGGGAATCTACACAACAGTTGACCCTGTTTGACTTGAATAGACGAGCAGATGAATACGGGAACAAATGATCCTCCAGAGCAGTGGTGGCGAACCTATGGCACTCAGAGCCCTCTCTGTGGGCACGTGCGCCGCCACTACCAGCAGATTGCGCAAGTCCATTAGGCTACCACCACCCGGAGCGGCAACCCCACCCAGCACAAAGGAGGCGAAGCAGCCAACTAGCAAGCTCAAGTAGAGGTGGTAGAGCACGCCCACACCCAGCAAACCAAAGGCCGAGCAGGGAAAGCTGGATCCCCATCGGCGCCATGCTCCCCCCAGTCCCAGCTAGGATTGCGTGCCTCCCCCCATCTATGCTGGGCCTCCTGCCCACCGCCCCACCCGCCAGAGACCCCCTGCATCTCCCCCAACACTGCCCGGCCCCCACAGGCATCGCCCCCATGAGCAACATCGAGGCGATTTTTAGTATAACTTTTCCCCTCTTCGGCCTTTTTTTGGGGGGGAAGGGTCCTTGGTGCTCTCTGAGCTTGGTTGTTTTCTTGCAGACATTTCATCATCCAAACTCGGTAACATCATCATTGATAGTCCTGTGAATTAGTTACCTAGTTTGGGTATTAAAACATCTGCAAGAAAACAACCAAGCTCAGATAGCACCAAGGGCTCTTCCTTTCAGCCTAGAGCTACATATATTCTCCTTTTTTAAAAATATTATTTTTTATAGTGTCGGTCCATATGCTACCCAGAGTCACTTCAACTGGAAAGCCTATGTATGCTACACAGACGTACGTGTTCCTTAGATTATTTAAGTATTGGTTCTACCCCAATATAGACAAAAGCTTTAATGCTTTTCTGGGTCTCCCTCCATTTTAAAGACAAATAACATATTTGCCCCAATATGTTTAATGCAGCTCAACAAAATTAACTTTTATTTTAAAAGACTAAAAAGTTTCTATTCCTCAAGTTAGAACATGGAATCGCTTGCCCATGGATGAGGACAGGGTCAGGTATTGCTAACATTCCCTTGTGACTTTTATGAGCATAATAATTGCTTTTTTTGGATCTCAGCCAATGAAGCGATCCCAGTATCCTCCTTACCGTAGAACAGTGATGGCGAACCTTTTAGAGACCGAGTGCCCAAACTGCAACCCAAAACCCATTTATGCATCGTCGGGTGCCGGGTGGGTGTGACCCATTGGGTGGGCGTGGCTGCGGTGGTAACGGCAGACTGGGTGGGACTAAAAAGTTCAATCAATCAATTCCAACTTTGCAAGATCTTTTTTTTTTCCCGCGAGAAGTTTAAATTGACTGATTGATTGAACCTTTTTTTTTTGTACACGGCAGCCGAGGCCTAAAGTGAAAAGATTTTATAAAACCCAGCTGAAGGCTTAGGACTGGGTGACGGCGTGCGTGCCCACAGAGAGGGCTCTGAGTGCCGCCTCTGGCACCCATGCCATAGGTTCGCCACCACTGCCGTAGAAGCTACCTTGGCCTCTGGTAATTAAGAGTCAAAGATTTATCTTCTGTGAATTTATCTTTCTCTCTTTAAATGGCCCGTCACCCAAATCTGGAAGATTTAGACTTGACAATCTTAGATCATATGGAACACTTGTAATCCTGTTTTTGGAAGCTTTCATTTAGGTGCAATTTAGTCTTTATTCATTTGGTCGAGCTTAAAGACAAGATACACCCTGTGCAAAGAAGTCCTTTATTAATTTCCTGCCGAATGAGCCCCTAAATAATCAAGCTGTGGTATTATAAGGAGCAAAATACCTCCTTATAATTCCACAGCTTGATTATTTAGGGGCTCTTTCAGCAAGAAATTAATAAAGGACTTCTTTGCACAGGGCATGTATCTTAAAAACGTATTTCCTTCTAATGCAAGAATGGCCATCAGTTTGGATGGTTTTAAACAGAAGAGAGCTAAGAAAGCTCTGAATTTCCATCAGTGGTAATGACTGTGTTTGAAATTAACTCTGCAGCTCCAAGGTTGAGAATAATTACTCTTCAAAATGCAGAGGGGGCAACAGCAGGAGAGAGCCATTGACTTAGTGTCTCGTTTGTGGATTTCCTAAAGGCATCTTCAAGCCTATGTTGTAAATGGGAAACAGATGGGTTATTCTGGAGGTGTATTACAGCATCCTAATTGTACATGTTAATCTTATATATCTCACATCCCATAGATCAGACAGAGAGGGCTTTCTCTCACCTTCTGCCTGGCCCTTTTTACCAGGTGATTGAATCTGGAATATTCTTCTCTACCGAAGTAATTGATGCCAGGGGTAGGGAGAGGCTTACCAGCTCAGGGATAGCTAATGGCAGCTAATGTGCTGCTCTCTAGTGGTCATCTGGTGTTTAAAAATCTGGTAGCCCTATTACAACATTATGTGCTGGTCATAGTTCAATTCACAGGCATGTATCATAATGTTATGTCAGGCTATAAATGCAAATCAAATCATACATGTAGAGTTGTGATTTTTATAGGAGAGAGGGCTGCAAGTTTACATTGGGCTTCAAAAGTCCAAGTCCATGCGGTTGTAAGAATAGAATGGAATTGGAATTGGAATTGGAGTAGAATAGAATAGAATAGAATAGAATAGAATAGAATAGAATAGAATAGAATAGAAAATATGAAATAGAATAGAAAATATGAAATAGAACAGAACAGAATAGAATAGAAAATATGGAATGGAATAGAATAGAATAGAATAGAATAGAATAGAAAATATGGAATGGAATAGAATAGAAAATATGGAATAGAATAGAATAGAAAATATGGAATAGAATAGAATAGAATAGAATAGAATAGAAAATATGGAATGGAATAGAATAGAATAGAATCTTCTTAGTATTTTAAAACAAGCAACTCACGTGTGTTCTAAGACTGACTGACAATTTCTCCCTCTCAGGCCTGGCACACAGTCTATCTTCCCCTTTTGTTTTGTCAGGTAGGACTTGCTCCCTCTGATCCTGGTTGAAACCCTTTTCAGGTCAAGGGTATCCGTGCTCATCGGCATTCTTTTTCTGTGTCCCTAGGATCAACTCCAGCAGAAGATAATATGCCCAGGCCCAGTGACTTGCCTGACAGCTGCTCCCAATGGTCTCTACATCTTGGCCGGCATTGCTGAAAGCATCTACCTCTGGGAGGTAAGGGAGCTTGTAGCATTGGTGTGGAATGCAGTCTGATTGTTTTGGCTGCTAGAGCTGGCTGAAAGTTTTAAGAAGCTGAAAAAGCTGTGGGAGAGCTGGACTCCTGTTCTCTCCTCTACTAGAGTACATTTGCTAAAGTTAAAGGTCTTGGACCATACATAGTGAGATACTGGAGGTGTTCTTTAATGCAGTGAGATCAGAACTTTGCCACGAGAAAGTGGGAACTACCATCAACCTGCTGCCTATCAGTTTGGTTTCTATAGGCCAGAGAGGGTTTTTGCAGTGGATCTTCTGAGCTGTGCCCGTTGGGAGGGCTTCCCACTTCCTCCTCAGCTCCTGCCATCCATTATATATATGGTGTGTATTATGATGATGTTATCCATTCAGTCATGAAAAATGCTTGGCGACTCTGTGGGCGAGGTCTCTCCGTGTCTTCGGATCTTGTATTGCTTCTGTTCTGTGCTCTTTGATAGTGTCCAGCCACTGTGTTCTTGGACGGCCCGGTTTCCTTTTACCCTAACATTTCCAGTCATAATTGCTTTCTCCACTGAATTCTCCCGCATGACGCACACATACATGCACACATACCTCCAGTCTTTATTATTTTTATAAATAACTCAAGGTGGTGAACATGTCTAAATGGGAAACAAATGGATTATTCCTCCTATTTTCCCCACAAAAACAACTGTATAAGAAGAGTTGGGGAGAGACAGAGGGATGGATGAATGGATGGTTGGTTGGTTGGTTGGTTGGTTGGTTAGGGTCTTTGAAGGAAATTTCAAAAGCTGATTTATTTCATAGCCAGTGAAGCTGATCCCAAGACTGGTGTTGCATGCCTCCAATGAGGAATATCTCACAGAAGCATGGCTGCTGCATTCTGGGCCTACTGCAGCATTTGAAATTTCCTTCAAAGACCCTAACCCAAATAGAAATTATTACAATAATCTGTTTTGGAGGTAACCAGTGTAGATCAGAGAGGCCGGATCATAGAGATCAAAAGAGCTCAGAAGTCATCTTGTCCAATCCACTTGGTGCAGGATCTGCTGTAGTATTTTGAACAAATGGCTATCCAGCCTCTGTTTGAAGATCTCTGGTAAAAAAGACTATGCCAGTTCATGAGGCAACCTATTCCATTGGTTAACTGCAATTACTGTCATGGGGTTCTCCCAATATCTAACCTGAATCTACTTCCCTATAGTTTCAATTCATTATGTATGATCTCTTGGACAATAAAGAGCACGTCCATTTCCCTTTGTATTCAAACACCTTTCAGTTTTGGAAGATTGCCCTTATGGCTATCGTCTGTCTTCTTGTTTGCAGACTAAACATAGTTAGTCGCTGCAGCCATTTTTCATAGGACTTAATTTCCAGTCCCTTGCCATCTCTGAACATAATTCCACTTTGCTAACTGTCAGACTGCAATGCATTGAACTGGACAATTGATTTTCTGTTGACTTTGAATACAGCAAAGCAGAGTGGGACAATTATTTTCCACAATCCAGATTCCCAAAATAGCTTTTTCTTTTTTTAGCAGCTGTTTGATTTTGTTGGCTCGTGTTCAGCTTGTGATCTTTTAGGAAGCCCAGTTCTTTTTCACATACAATATTATTATGGTGGCCAGGTCCCTCCCATCCTACAGCCTTCCTTTTTTCTTGCCAAATTCAAGACTGCATTTCTTCATGTTAAAGTTCATCATATTGATTTCAACCCACCGCTCAAGCCTAATTCTTTTTTAATCTTCTCTGTCTCTCTTAAAGCATAAGCCAGTCCTTTAATTTAGTGTCATCTGCAGGTGATCCCAAATCACCAATAAAAACGTAAAACAGCACAGTACCCAAGACAAAGTCCTGTTTCGCTCCACTTAATACTATTCTCCAGTCTGATGTGGAACCATCAGGGGAAATACTGCCTAGATCAGGGGTAGGCAACCTTGGCTCTTTTATGACTCGTGGACTTCAACTCCCAGAATTCCTGGGCCAGCATGGCTCAGCTTGGAAACCTCTCCCTTTCTCCTCAGCATGGCTGGCTCAGGAATTCTGGGAGTTGAAGTCCATGAGTCATAAAAGAGCCAAGGTTGCCTACCCCTGGCCTAGATTCAGTCATAGGGCCAATTAAAAATCAATCTAAAGTTACCTCAGGTGGCCCCTGTTTCACCATTTTACTAATACAGACACAGTCCTGGGCTTATGATCACATCTGAGCCCAACATTTCTGTTCCTAGCAAGACAGTTATGAAGTGAATGTTGTTCCATTTTACAAACTATCTTGCCACAATTGTTAAGTAAATCGTTGTAGTTGTTAAGTTAGTAACGGTCATTAAGTGAATCTGGCTTCCCCATTGACTTTGCTTGTCAGAAGGTCACAAAGACACCAGGACACTGCAACGATCACAAATATGCGTCAGTTGCCAAGTGTCTGAATTTTGATCACGTGACCATGGGATGCTGCAATGGCCATGGGTGTGAAAAACATTCATAAGTCACTTTTTTCTATGCCAGTTTAATGTTGAACAAACACTAAATGAACTGTTGTAAGTTAGAGACGGACTGTGCAAGTATCATGAGAAGTTTTGTTAAATATTCTGTGCAGGTTAGCCCTATCCAAGAAAAAGCAACGTTGATAAATGCAGCAGATACAAAGCATCTCTTGCTATCATACTCAGCTAAATACCTCGGGGAGAGTGCTAAGTAGAGAAACACCCACAAACTATGGACTTGCTTTTCTGCGGGTGTACAGAACTGCTGCTAAGTAACAATCCTTCAGTTTAAGTTTGTGATCCAGCCTGAAAAGAGACTGACACAATATATTTTGTTTGGTCTTGTTTTGAGTGTCCCATTATGGGGAACAATAGAAACTCAAGTAAATCCATTTTCCCTTGTTTTTATCCTGTTAGTGTAAAAAGTAGGATGGGGTGGTAGTCCATGCTAAATGCTACATACTACTACACCCACAGTAAGTAGGTTATCCTTCTCATACCACTTTCTCTAGCCTGTGGTGACCTCCCTCTTTCTTTTAGATGTAACTTAATGGGAAATTATCAAAACCAAGAAGCAGTGATTAAAATTGCAGCCGTACACTTAATTCTATTGAGTAGCCAACAGCCAGGGCTTGTAAACAGATTTGCTGAGTCAGATTTTTATATAGATGTTTGTTTAAAAGATTTATAAAGCTGCTGCTCTCCCACTTTTTTAAGTGGCGCACACCAACAAAAAATAAAAAAATCAGAATCATAGAAGAAAATACCGTACAGAACCAAAATAAATGACATTTAATCCAGACTGACAATAATAACATATGGTCTCACAGCAGAACTGGCTTATATACCATAATGGTCCCAGATGGGAGAAAAGTCTCTGTGTGAAACCAGTAGAGTCAGGTCATCTCAATCAGCAATGAGGAGGAACCGTTCAAAGAGTAGACTTAACAAGAGAGAAATTACACCTCCTAAGCCACTTTAGGAGGTGTTGCTTAGAGCATGCAAACCTTGTGCCATGGATAGCTTTATAGTTGGGAGTTGTGTGATATATACAACTCATAAATTATTATTATGGCTGGTCACACACAGATTTTGCATTTTTGTCCACTTATCGGGTCCTTCCCAAGGACCTGGGTCAGGTAAATGTTATTGTTTAAGTAATAAAATATTCTGACCACCAGAATCTTGATTTATACCTGGAAGATATAAATGCAGCTCACATAGTAGGGACATTATAAGGGGTGCACTGAGGGATGTCCATTACTGCCCACCTCACTGCATTCGAACTACCAGCAGTTCCAAGTGGTTTCCAAGGGCAGCCCCACGTAGAGTGCATTGTAGAGTGAATTGAGAGGTAACTAACGTATAAGTGACCACGACCATGGCCTCCTGATCCAGAAACAGGTGCAACTGATGCAGTAAGACAAAGTTGTACAAAAGCCCTCCAGAGGCCAGCTGGTCCTCAAACTGCCTAAAATCACAATGGAATCCTAGAAGGAGAAGACAGAAATCCAGGAGGAGCCCCAGATTGCACACCAGAGGGGAATTGCAATCCTACTCAGAGCCAGTGTGGAAAATTCCCAAAACCAGTTCCTGAGGGACTCAAGTTACACAGCCTTTCAAGTCTTATTACATTTGAGACAGAACTTGTTTTTCCTCACCCAGACTCCCCATAGCTTCCAGAACTAGGAGAGAACCAAGGCAACATCACTTGATCAGTGTAGTAGGCAAAGGAATATTACTGTGTCATCAATATGTTGGTGTTATTTGATCCCATATTGCTGGATGACCCTACCCAATGGCTTCTTGGAGATTTTAAGCACAAAGCAAGGGCCTAGACCTTGGCTCTTTTATGACTCATGGACTTCAACTCCCAGAATTCCTGAGCCAGCATGGCTCAACTTGGAAACCATTCTTTCCTCTCAGCATTGCTGGCTCAGGAATTCTGGGAGTTGAAGTCCATGAGTCATAAAAGAGCCAAGGTTGCCTACTCCTGGCCTAGACACATTACACTAACACCAAATGGAATTGGCCTTAGTAACCAGTTTTCTGAACCAGCCTAGAAGGACTCCATTGTTTGTTGCTCAGCAATCTTTTCTTTTTCCTTTAAATGGGAGCTACTAATTTAATTTAATTTTAATTTAATACATTGACTTATATGCCGCCCTTCTCCCCACGGGACTCAGGGCGGCTCACAGCATATTAAAACAACATAGCACATTTCCCCAATAAAAGCCAATTAAAACCAAATATTTGTAGCTGTGTCTCTTATTAAAAATCATTAAAAATTATCCCTATTTAAAATTCACCCTAGGTCAGTCCCGCTTGCTGAAA